TTTGGAGGAGACTTTAGGGTAAACGTGATGGCCCCATTCCTTCCTTGATTTTCGAAGCCAAAGGATGGCACGACATGTTCGATGATTGCGTAGGGTATATCAATCCGACAATGCCAATTGTAAGATTCAAGGGTACTCTCCTGTAGATACACCTGTTTGATCGTATTAGCTGGCTACAGTTGAAACTTGAGAAAATGGCATGTAGAAGGCAACTAGTACCGAACTGGCATCTGCAGCTCATTTCTCCGGTCGTCTTGAACATATAAGTCGAGAAACTTACTACTAGAGAGGACTTCCCAAACGTGATATAGCCTTGCCTCTTGTCTTTGTACCTTTCCTGAAATGAAAGTGTCCCTAAGGTGGTGTAATCCCACACGCCTGTCATAAGAGCCGAGAATGAAAGTGTTGATCGACCAGCTTGCGAAGCCTGCGCTGTCGGCGCCTGGCTGCCCATTTTCGACCTCATGGCTGCATCCTTCTCCTGCAGCGATCTAACTTTGAGAGGATCAGGTTGCCCAGGCTTGTTGTTCTTGCAGAAAGTGAGTGCCTGACCCTGGAAGACCAGGGAGTGCAGAGGAACCTGTCTGCCGCGACTTCCGTAATACTGGAGGAACCTGTTGCCACTGCTTGTGCTTGGGACCGTGAGTATCGCAAACGGTCGTCCTTTGTGGCTATTGTGTTTTCTAATATCGAACGCCAATATATCAAGCTTGTGCAGTTTGTCTTTCAGGAAACGCTGCAACTCGATGTGATTTGCATCTTTGGGCACCTAGCAGCGCGCGATTAGTTTGTGTTTCGGAACACATATGCTTATCTCCCTAGCCTGCTGCTGCAAGTCACTACAGCTGACTGCCTTAGGGGAGGGGACTTACGCTCGGAATGTAGATGTCCATGACGGACAAAATGGTACGGCTTCAGCCTTGGTCCGCGCAGCGCTAGAGCAAGACTCGTTTTCCATGCGCGTGTTGGAACTGCAAATAAATGAGAAAGGAGGTAAAATCGAGCTTCACGGATATATCTTGTTGTAGGTGAGTGTGATTACAAAGTGGGGACTAGCGTTAAATGCGCGGTCTCACGTGCGGGGTTTGGCTGCCACTGTGTTGGTGAAGTGGGAATACCTTGCAACAGCAACTCTAAAATGGCCAGAATTGGCTTTCACTGCCAGGGCGAAACGCTATTGTTATTGGCTTTCTGAGACAGCCGCTGTGTTGCCTAGTTTCGGTCGTCAGCCACGGCGGTAGTAGTATGCAGGAGGCAGAGTGAAGCATGTAAAGAGCTCCAGCCAACAACCAACCAATCACTACTAACCGCTTTAACGCATGGCCAAGGCAAGGGCGTGGCACGGTCAAGACCGATTTAGATATGCGGGTTGCTGAACGGGCAGAAAGTAAGTCAAAGCCCGTGCGGTCTATCGATTTGGAGAGGCCAAGGCTTATTAAGTATCGGCGCGCATAGAGAGTGAAATAATACAGGCTATTGTTAAAATAAGTCAGGAAGGTTTTCACAGAAACTCGAAGCAACATCACAAACAAAAGTTTCTGCTTTTGTTCAGTGGCAAGGATGACCCGGTTCTTGTTTTCACGGGATTTTACAGCTTACGTCTTGTCTTAGGCTATGGACGGTATTATTTCTTGTCCGCTTCCTTTCCCGGGGCTTCCCTTCTCTCCAGTATTTTATCCACCAGGCCAAAGTCAACCGCCTCTTGCGCATCCATGAAGTAGTCGCGCTCCATGTACTTCTCAATCTCTTCGAGCGTCCTCTTTTTGGTGATATGGTTCTGGTAGATTCTGTTCAACTTGTCTCGTATCCTTAAAATCTCCTTTGCATGGTCTGCGATGTCGCTGGCCTTGCCACGGTAACCACCGCTCGGCTGGTGTATCATGACGCGAGCATGTGGCAGTATGTACCGTTGTCCTTCAGCGCCACCAGCAAGAAGTAGTGAACCCATGGATGCTGCGATACCCATGCATATCGTTGTCACTGGACACCGGATATAGTTCATTGTATCGTAAATGGCAAGACCGGCGCTGACACTACCACCAGGACTATTGATGTACATAGAGATGGGCTTCTCAGGGTTATCGGCTTCGAGGAAGAGAAGCTGTGCTACAGCATTCGCAGACATGTAGTCGTCTACTTCGCCATTCAGACAGATGATACGTTCTTGGAGAAGACGCGAGAAGATGTCAGAGGTTTTCCAGCCTCCACCCTAGGAAGTCAGACATGGTTTTGGAAACAAGACGAATTAGAGCTCACAGTGGTCTCTGTCACGTAGGGTATGGGGAGTGATATCGCGCGTGGTGTTTGTTGCTCAGGCTGTTGCGTGTTCCATTGAGGCTGAAAGCCAAACTTGCTCGACATGGATCGAATCCCATTCCTGTAAAGACATCGCAGGGCAGATGGCCTTGTAACCCGTTGTAATACTGCAGCCATGATTTGTGTTGTGGAGATCGTTGGTGCTTTCCCCGCAAGAAAGCTATGGTGCATGCCAAGCCGGAGGTCCGATGCCATCATGTCGCAGCTCAACCAAAGTCCTATCAACCTTACCTTGTTTCTTCTTCTTGCCCGATGCTAGGCAGATGGATCCTTCGCCCAGGGTCACGCTTGAGCCTAGCCAGACGGCACCCCAAGGCCCAATGCCGCGCAAGCTCCGCCCACATTCCCGGTCACGTTTTAAGAGGTGACGACCTCGGCCCCACGCGCAAAGATGATTACCAGACTGTCCGCGTCCGTAAGGACAAGCAGGCAAAGGATCTTCCATTGCCTCCATTACTAGACCCTCTGGTCTTGGAACAAAGGTCGCGCTTCGAGCAGAGAAAGGAAAGACCAAACGTTGCCAACTTTACGACATTCCAGAAGAGACTGTGGGAGAATCCATTTGGTACAAGACACCATGACATTTCTCTCAAAGGACTGCTTACTGACTACTGTACAGCTAATGCCTTAGCATCACCTGTGCGTCAATGTCGCTCAACGCAGATCTCGCTTCCTGTCGCTTTTCTGACGTCTCTCCACCCACGCCCTCACCCAACCACCCAAGATCCATGGCTTCTTCCCGTCTCACTAACAACCGACACTAAACATCTTGGCCCACCATATCGATTCTTGGGAAGACACCTAGTTGCAGCACATCTAAGCAAGAGCAAAGCATGGCAGAAGGTACTAAACTCACGCATGAGCGAAAAGCTCGGTGCGCATAACCTGAAGAACATAGTCTGGAGAGAAGATATGGCCGACTTCATACTGGAAATGATGCGCAAGAGACTTGCTGGTCGCTTAGCTTGGTACTTTGGATTTAGGGGTCGCTTGATCCCTGTTCCAAGTCCCCGGACTGAAGACATAGAGGACGTCGAGGATGTGTCCTGTGTGCTCATTTTTCGTTCGTTGCGCACGCGTGCGAATGATTTAAAAGTTCGTTCAGACGAGAACAAAACAGAGTTGGAGAAGTGGTCAAGCTATTTTGCCAAGAACTTTGCATCGAAACTTGATCCTCACGCCGCTCCAGGAGTCACGCACACATCGCCACACTGGTACTCGGGGCCTATAGTGCCTCGCATGCAACCTCGCCTACAGTTTCCTGAGCTCGAGTTTCATGTTACCACATGGAGAGGGAAAAAGGTGGCAGTCTACAGCTTATCAGATTTGCTGGGAGAAGAACAGGCACAGATGTTGGTGGAAGGTAGCAAGTACGCAAACGAAAAATGTGTCGTTCTGAAGAGGGGAAGACACAGCATACCAATCCAGATACTCCTCATGCAGGCCCAAGCGTATATTGCTTGGCCAGGACCATGAGTACGATTCAATTACAAGTTTTAGAACAAAGTTCGCCGCCACCTTACTCTTCACTAAGGTATATTACTTGCCAGACACCTCGCCCATTCTCTTTTCCCAATCAGGTTTTGTCAAGCCAAAAAGATGCATATCCAGTACCTTGCCATTCTTCTGGCAATGACCCTTCATCACACCTTCAGGCGCGTAGCCAGACTTTTCAAGGCACCGCATGCTTCTGAAATTGCCCGAAAAGACACCACCCCATATCCTCGTCAAGCGCTGTCCATTCCTGTCCCAGTTTTCAAACACCCATCTTGTGAATCCCTGTAACACCTCTGTCATGTAGCCCTTTCCCCAGTGCGCTGGGGCAATCCAGTAACCGACTTCGCCAGTGTGAGCATTGACATCACTGCCAGCCTTGATGCCGAGTCCTCCGATTACAACGTCTGGTTCCGAACGCTCGCATACAACAAAGGCCTCTTGGTATGGGAGTACAGTGTTCATGTTGATCCATGTCTCGGCGCTGGATATTGTGTAGGGGCTTGGAAAGGCAAGAGACATGTACTGTGAGACGCGTAGGTCGTTGGCGTGTAAAGACATGGACGGGGCGTCTGGCAGGTACATTGGACGGATTATCAGGCGTTCTGTTGTTGCTATTGGGGTAGGATATGCTGTGCCCTCAGATGCGGTTGAGTTTTCCACTGAAGTTTGCATCGTGGCGGGATGCGCTGTGGTTGGTTGATCGGCCATGTTGACCAAAGTTTTATCGCTGAACAAATGTGAAACGAAGGAGCCTGGCTACAATAGATGAATATATATATGGTGAGAGATTTGCGAGAATGTTATTTGAGTCAGTATTTTGACTCAACACATTATATAGATGGTTCCTTTTGAGTATGACGAAGCAGCTCAAGGCTGATGCACCTTCCCATACAGGACATCATATGACTCGAAGTGTCAGGCAACCAAAAAAAGCCACGGCCATTCACAGCCTTAATATGGCGTGCAGAAGTTGATGTCTCAAAAATATCCAGCCTAGCTCTATATTCCTTCAACATGAGATAACAGGGTGCCTTTCAACGAATGACGAACTAGTTCGACACGTGAAGGAGGGGGAGGGGGTGACGTCGGGGGGGCATGGTACTTGCGCGTCGCGCTAAAACGCGTCTACCATCGCGTTGGCGGTTCACCACGCAGACGAAATCCCATTGCTGCTATACAGCGCAGAAATGCCGTCTTTCGCAGCAAAGTATGTATTTGGATTTGCGTATAGAACCTGAAGCTAATGAATGCTCAGGAAAGTAGTTCGGACATATTCGCGCCAAAACAAACGCTCACTCTACGACGAACCGCCCACGAAGCGACGACGCGTCGAAACTGCAGTCGAGAGTATCGAGACCGAGGTGCTGATCCCTCCCGTTGTTCTCGCAATAGAAAACTCCTCGCCCTCACACACGAAATCTTCGTCTCCGCCATCAAGTCCAAAAGAGTCACCCGCCATCTTCTCAGACGCATTAGCTCGGTCTAGTCCACCATCGTCACCAACACCGCGCAGCTCTCCCCCTCCGCTCCAGAAACGTCGACCTGTGTTTTCTATATTCAAGAAGCAAACCAAAGCTACCACAACTAGCAAAGAGCCGCTTATAGAACGAGCCCAAAATGCACAAAGCCCGCCGAAACCACCATCAAAAAAGAAGCCCATGGTGCAGATGCAACTAGACTTGGCCTCGGAGACACGAAAAACATGTAAGACGTGTGGAATGCAATACATACCCTCCAATTTAGAGGATGCCGCATTACACAAGAAATTTCATGCAATCAACCTTGGGGGTATGGACTTCACAAAGGCGCTCGTTCAGCGGTTACGAAAAAATGAAATATGGAGTGGGAGTGATGGGAGCTTTATCGCGGTGGTCGGGCGCAAAGATGCGCTTTTGCTGCGGAGCCGGGCGAGCGATGTGTTGAAGATAGTGAACACTGAACTTGCAGCTGTTCCCATATCCGACGAAGAGCTCTGGAGCCAGAAGTGTCAGCCAACCACGACCGATATTCTGATTGGAGAAACAGTATCCACCGACGTTGAAAAGTCAGCGACAGACAAGCTCAAACCCGCCCTTGTCGATCGATTCAAAGTCTATCTTTACATCCGGGGTAGCAAGTGTGTGGGGGCTTGCTTAGCAGAGCGGATCTGGGAAGCCTTCCAAGCTCTTGATCCAGATGCTGCGTCTGAGCAGTCCTGCAAGCTCCCTGACACGACTCAAAGTTCGTCCATTTCTATCAGCAATGAATCCGATCCGGCCATCCTAGGCATATCGCGCATATGGACGTCAAATCAGCATCGGAAAAAGGGCATTGCGACAAGGCTGCTTGACTGCGCAAGAGCAAATTTCTTATATGGGATGAGGATTGAAAAGGCCAAGGTTGCGTTCAGTCAGCCGACAGAGAGTGGAGGAAACCTTGCGCGCAAATGGTATGGCAGCCAGGCAGGATGGCATGTGTATATTGATTAGGCAGTATGTCATACGTAGCAAGGGTAGGGTGTACCAGACATTCTATGTACATACACGGTGTATGACGTTGTATAGCCGGCGCTACAGTCGTGGCTGCTAGTACATATATGGCATTGACAGCACACGATGAAGCTGATACCACACGTTGGCAAACAACTGTTCGCTGGTGCAAACTTTGCACATAGACATACATGTGCAGGGCCCACCCGCGATATCCGAGCCGCTTGTTTGCTGGCTGGTAGGCGCAAATGGCGTACATGACAGGGTGAGATGCGATGGTGGGGGTTGTTCGCTGTCCCGCCAGATCGACGCGTGCATGTCGGCGATGATCGACTTGCTGGCCCGACCACCAGCAGGGGCATCTCTTCCAGGCTGTCTTACACTTACCGCCTCCTGCGAGTCTTTTCCATGTACATAGCATAATGAATTGATTTTAGCCCCAGCATGTCGTCCGGGAACCCTTTTCGCGCCTCGCAAGCGTTTCCTCGGCCCGCGCCCGTACCGCAGACTTCCTTTATCAACACGGATAGCAGCGTGCTCGAGGCTCGCCGGGGAGACAGCGACCATGGTATTCCCTTGCCTTGCCGTTCTGCTTCTGCTGGCATTGAAGGAGTAATTGTCTTACAGTGCTCGAAGATGCCGCCGCGCCTACAAAGACGAAGAAGTCTGTACGCATAGTCTCTCCCACTACCACCATTCCGCCGCCGCCCAACTTCGACGACGACAACAATGTCACGCTCAACGAACTCATGGCCCGGCGAGCAAGCTATGGAGGTCGCCCTGCGAGCCCGCCACCTCCGGTGAACCCCGCCGGTTTTGCCAACCACTCCATTACCGCAGGCGAAGCCAATGCGCAGGTGATTGGGAAAGATGCCCTGGTGACAGCAGGCGCATTGCCCAGCACCAGACCATACTTGAGCGGATCACAAGGAGCTTCTGCGCTAGGCAATGCACCCGCGAACCCGTTCTCAAAAACGCTGGCATCGCTGGAACCGCAGCAGGGCGAGGGCAGCACGGAAGAACGGACAAATGCGCAAAGGCCAACGCCAGGCAACAACAGAGCTTCGCTAGATGTGGAGAGCTTCAAGAATCTGCTCATGACTGGAATGCCTACTCCGCGCGCTTCCGGCCAGTCTGCGCGACCTGGAAGCGCTTCGTATTCGACTAGTAGTGGGCAATTTGAAAGCAGCAGCACAGATAGCTCTTCAGTATCGCGGCAGTCGATATCAGAGCACCCACAAGAGATACATGCTGCGTCGTCGCGAACTTCAGACGACGTAGCAGACGAAGATGAGGACGAGGGCGTGGGGATGATGCCTGAAGTGAAAAAGGGCAAGAAGCAACCCCCGCCTGCGCCCAAGCATCGTCATGGCAAACTCGTCGCACCGAGACAGCCACAGACAGTTCCGTTTGACCAATTCGAAGCAACTGAGCCTGTGGCGCCAGCAAGTGTTAGCCGGACAAACAGCTCAGATGCGAGTAAGCCGTTTCCGTCGTCTCCGATGGCCCAGCAGCAGTCACCGTCGCAACCACGGCCGACACCACCAAAACCAAGCGACGCTCCCAAATCTGCGGAAGATCCGGCGAAGCCAAAAAAGACCCCTCCACCTGTACCAATAGCTCGGAGACACAGTCAGTTGAAAACGACGACAACTACGGGAAACCGGTCGCGTAGCAGCTCGAATCTCACAATATCCTCGCAACACTCTATTGAAGCTCCGCAAACCCCAACATCAACCTACCATGACCCAATGTCGAGCGCAAAGTCACCACCTCCTCCCCCACCCTCTCGATACGGCGCGCGACTTGCGAACCTAGGAGCTTCAAGCACAAACTCCTCCAGCACAGAGCTAGCACAATCCTCCAGTTCAGTCCGAATACCGCGCTCCATCCCCGATCCCCCCTCTCCCCGCCGAAACGCTGCAGACTCGGAAGCTCCATCGCCAGCTCCCAGCATGCACCGCACCTCCTCCGTCTCCTCAACCCGCAATGCCCAGCGCAACGTCTCAGGCGGAAGCACAGGCAGCATCATGCCTCCGCCCCCTCCCCCGCGACGCCGCCAATCCAACCGCTCGAGCCTCGACCAACAACGCCCATACCCGTACTCCTCCACCTCCCCCTCCGAGAGCCGCCGCACAAGCACCGAGATCCGCCGCGCGAGCACTGAACACCGGCGCACTAGCGTGGCAAGTGAGAGCTCGCTGCGCCGCGCGTATGCGCCCGTGGATGAGAAAGGAGAAAACGAGCATGCGTTGTATTCGCCTGTTGATGAGAAGGAGAGGGTGCTGGGTGTTGATGAGAGCGTCAGTGTGGGTGCAGAGAAAGGACAGGAAGTGAGGAGTAATTCGAGTAATATACTCGATGATATGGAGAAGTTCCAGCGTGAGATTGATGAGTTGAGGACAAGGTATAAGTAGTTGAGAGTATACATATATATATATATATATATATCCGAGTTGGTGTACTGGTAAAGAGAGAGAAGTTGAAGGATGAGGGGGGGGGGAGGTTGCCGTTCAACACTCGCTCGTGCGCTCTCCCTTGTTTTTTTTTAATTTTACCTGGCTTTCTTTCTCTCTCTCTTTTTCTGAGGGGATGCGAGATATGCAGGGTCGTGGAGCAAATGGGGATCAAGGAGTAAGAGTATATATTACGCTATTGGTGAGGTTTGAGGGGGATGAGACGAGAAATGTATAATTATATCAAACCATTGCTCTGGCTGTTTTTTTGGGTTCTTTTGTGGGAGAGATATGGGGCGTAAAGCATCTTGTAACCTGTCTGTTCATTCTGTCGCATTGTCTTGATCCTGTTTGTCTAGTCATAGTTTGTTCGCCCAATGGCATGATAGAAGAGAATACCAAGGACGATTTTAGACTGATCTGCATACTTGTATGTTTTTTTTTTAAAAAGAGAAGGAAGAAGCTGCTTAAGATTATCATGTATAGTGAAGTCAGTGGAGCAAGGGTCCATTGCAAACGACGAGAAAAGAGAGAATGACGTAGTCAAGTTTTTGTATTAGTTTCGTCGGAAGCTACATAGATTCCATAGTAGAATCTGCTACTAGACGAATAATTAATTTACCCCATCTCCGCCTTAAAAAAAACTACCCATTACATTAAGTGTGAAGTCGTGAATGTGGGAGCATTGGTAGTCGTAGAAAGTGCGCGGTTCACGACGGATAGCTAGCCCGCCGAAGAAAACCCCTCCGCATCATTATCATAGCCAGCCCCACCCCGACCTCGAATGTTAAAATGAAGGCATAAAAGTCGTTTGTTTATTTATTTATCTTTTCTCTTCTCAATCCGAAATCGAACTTTGGTTTCATATATGCACAAAGTCTTATCAGACGAAGGCAACTAGGGCTGCAGCGCCAATAGCGAAGAGCGAGGCCAGGCCAGTCAAGGGCGCAGCAATAGCAGCTGCATTCGTAGTAACCTCTGGGAGAGCAGGACTTGAAGCTGGTGGGGCTTCGATGGTTGATGAGGCGGACGGCACAACGGTGGACGGCGCGACGACGACAGGAACAGTAGTAGCACCAGAGGCGGCGGGGGAACTCTCGAGTGGCGCTGATGGAGCAATACTTGGAGCCGGGCCAGAGGGTGCAGCAGTCTCTGAAGTAGGAGTAGGCTCATGGGGCGTTACAGCGCTAGTGGTACTGACAACGCTGCTCGGGCTAGGCGCTACGACCGATTCAGCAGGAGGAGGCGTTGGTGGCGGTCCAGGCCGGGTAATAGAGTGCGTGACGGTGATGGTGACGGTAGTTGGCGCTGGACAGGTAGCTTTTTGGTGAATTATGTTAGCTTGTGGTGTGGTGATTGATAGTAGTACTTAGGTGGCTGGGGAGTTATTTTTTTCTTGTTAACAAAGAAAGGTACTTACTTTCGTGACCGACGACACCCAACGCAAGCGCAGCAACCGCGAATATCTTGGAGCCAAACATGGTGATGGCAATAGAGCTAATCCAGGTAGTGGAAATTCGAACTTAGTAGCTCTAAAGTTGAAGTTGAAAATATGCTCGCGTTGAATTGATGCAGCAGCAGCGATAATTTCGGTGGTTGTCGTGAAGAAAGCAAAGCAATCGAGGTGAGCGGGGACAGAAGTATTGTTTATGGCGAGGCGGTTGGCCGTTTGCAGGCACGGCAATACGCTTGGCATTGGCGGCAGACAGCAGGCGCAGGCAGTAACCCGATTGCGTGAGTACAAACCAAGGAAAGTGAGCGTGAGGGCGTGATGGTCGAGTGGGGTGGTGCGCCGTGTTGGTGTCATGTGGTACATTATTTTTAGGCACCCTAACCTCTTATATTGCTGTACGTCCATGGAACAATATTGGAATAAAGTATTGAAATCCATATCGCCCAATCCGGATAACCGTTGTGGCGAGAACACCGTTTTTTTTCTTGCATAACTCGACAATGTGTTGTCTGGATCTCATTTCTCAATTGGGTATTTTTTCTGTTCTTTGAAAGCGACATATTCAACATTGCGCATTAATTTCAGCATGTGTAACATCGAGCATTACACTGGTCACATTATGTGCAACTGTCTACGACGGTCTCGCAACCCAACCAGAAAGAGAGAAAAGAAATAAAAGCAACATGTACAATATGGCAGTTTTAGTCCCTTACACAAACTCCGGTGCAACGCTTTGGCGCTTGATGCCAGACTGCACATAGGTCGATACCACCGTTATCCTAACCTTCTTGTGACTTTTAATTTCAAAAGATCTGACGAGCTGTCCAAAGAGGAAGCTTTCGAACCAGGAGTATAGATCCCTGGATCATGTCGTCTCAATGACCGTACTACTCTCATCTTGACAGCGAGGCAGCGATACATAGAAATCGCAGTGAAAAGTAGTTTCGTGCTGATGAAGTATTTTCATTCTTATCAAATTATGTAGAAACGGGATATTATGTCGGGACAGTTGAAAAGAATATCATCTATCCTGTTTGATAGTAATCCACCGATTTACGAACACTCAAGTGCCGTGCTGTAAATAATTAAAAAAATTTCATCATTCTTTCATGATACAAATATGCATAGTCTCTCTCTTTCATTCAGAGTCAACGATATATCTCCCGCTTGATTCGGACCTAATTCATTCCGAATTATCGTAATGGGCGTAGTGCAGACCCTTTCCTCGACTATACCTACTCTGTACCCAAATTTCCGGAAAATTCTGGAAACAAAACACTTGGGGAATTATGTAGAACAAGATAGCCCATAGCTTCTCGGAATCTGCGCAATACTGCAGCTGTGTAGGTATGATATCTTGGACTGATCATCTCAACGACAGTGACTCTATAATATTAGCTCTGCGTTTGATTATGCTCACATGCTAATGAAATTTCCTCCAGATTTGAAGCTAGTAGGTATCCTGAGCTGGAAGTACGCTGCCTACTAACCCTTTCGTTTGTGTAGAAAGGGAAGGTATGGGTTGTTAGCAGGTTATTCCACGCAGGAAAAGTTGGGTGGTAGATGGAAATACAGTGAACATTCTGTATGCTGATACGGAAGAAAACCTCAGTGAGAGGGAGAGACATAGTTGGGAACTTTATGGCAGTTGCATTTGCTAAGTACAAAAAAAAGGCTTAAAGAGCATATATAAAAGGCAAGGGTGTTTAGTGCGATGATTAGTATGGGAGAACAAACTACCAAGCTCACCACTTTCATCATAAGAATATTCGATACTGGAACGAACAGCTCAACTAGGATTGCAGGCCTGAAAATCCAGATCATTCCCTGGACTTGGGTTTGTGATTGGATTAAGTAAACGAGTGACTTGAAAGAGCGCCTCTTCTACCCAAAGCCCCTTTGAGATATCTAGCCACATCTTATTACTCGTATTTAATCCCGGAGCCATATCTGCAGAGAATATACGAGGGAGCACGCAGTATCGAAGGCTAATCCACTAGTAAAGCAAATGCTTACACCAACAGGGCGCCACATAAATGCCAAGACAACTAAGCATAGCACCATAACTTCTTACTTGGAAGATGCTGTCGAAGAAAAAAGTCAACCTCAGGAGACTTTGTCTTATTTCAAAAACTTAAAAAAGATCGAAATCCACCCTCCAGTCCAGATTACACAGGCGAGGGAATAGGTTAATAACTTCATCTTGGAAGGGTCATTTCACTCTGACCCTAAAATTGGGGCAGATGAGATGGTTAGTAGGTTGTGTATGAGATGCCCTTGGTAGAGTTTGGAGGGGAGGAATGCTGAAGTGTGGTCTCGACGGGTGATTAATCTCTGTTTTGATTAATTGAAGATAGTTTTTTGGTAATCTGGGCTCTAGAACAAGAATGACCAAAAATGATATAGAAAGGTGTAGATTGCGTAAATTGATTGCGATTAATCGTGTGTGAATTGGGCTGTGGGTTGAACTTTTAAATTTTGGGGGGAGATGAAGGTGATGGTTCGTGTGTATGCGAGGTGGGTCTGGTTAGATTTTTCATCAGGATTAGATGAGAAAGCTTTGAGATGCGTGATTAATTAATGTTGAAGATAAGGCGTGGCGTGTTTTCGTTCGTGCTGGCTGAGTTACTTGGTGTCTGCGATGGGCTTCGCCGTGAGATCGTGGAACGCACCCAGCGTCAAGGAGATTAAGAGCCGAAATGATAGTTCTCCTGGAATGTTCTATCAGATGAGAGAAACTTAGTTGGAATGTGGCCCCCTTCCTTCCATACCACCACAACACACGATCATCAGAATCAAGAACTACCACAAGAGAGCCTTAGCACTGCATCACTAATACATAGATGTTAAGACACTACCCAATATACCTACCAACATCACCACTCTCTCCACATAGTCATAAATCATAAAACCCACAAGGCCAACCTCGAGTCAGATTTTACCACATGGATTGTTTTGCCCACCCCTCAGCCAGCTAGTCTTTCTCTCTCTCTCTCTCTCTGGGTGTAGTGTGGATATCATAATATAGCTTTTATAGCGCATCCATGGTATTCATGGGCTTTTTTGTGTGTGTACATATAGGGTGTGTAGTAGGATTACTGGGAACTCAGAAGGGGAGGTTTTCCGTGGTATCGAAGAAGTGAGGTTTGGGGGGGGGAGGGGGGGGAGGGGAAAGTACGATGTAGGACTGAAAGAGCGGGAGTCGTGAAAAAGGGGGGGAAATACTTCGTATCGAGTTTTGGTCTATTTGTAAAGTCTACGATTAATTTTGTGCAAGATGTCAGAGAGATGGATATAGCTGCAAATGTTGTTTTCTCCTAGTTGACAATATGTGGAGTACGCTGGACGAGAGATAGGTTCTACACAGGGGACGAATGCAAAGGCTACGGAGTGAATGAATAAAGGCAAGGTGTGTCCCATCAGGGGTCAGAAGAATGGCATAGAGTTTCGTCCATGTGAGCACCGATACACCATGCCACCGCCACCAATATAGAACCGTGAACCCCAGATTCTCCCACTTTGGCTATGATATCCAGGGGCTTTCAAAAGGTCACCACCCCTGAGTACAGTACACGCAAGCGCACGAAATTAGGACGATGCAACTCGAGAAAGGTAGTTGCCACCCAAACCACCCTCTGACCCCATTCATTGATGACAAAAAAGAAGGGCTGTCTAGGGTATGGTGCAGATACTGGGGCCTAACTGACATGGTGCGGGAAGAGAGGGTGAGAGAGAGGACCAGGGACAGTCGGAAGGCGTTCCGGGTTGTTGTCCAATAGAACTACAGGGAGATCAATGGGCAGCATACAGCCCTCGCTTTGCTAAAGTATGTAACCTAGGAGTGTCAATCGGATCCCCAGAGGTTCCATTGATCCTCTGTCTGCAAATCTAGAACTCTACTTGTTAGTAATTGACGTGTCCCCCCCCCCCCACACACACACACTAATCGACTTCGGCTTCCAGTCGGACCCTTCGCTTATATGCCCTCGAGGTTGCGTGTTCGGCAGCACGGGAGATTGTCGCTCCGACGTACAGGGTCTTTGTGAACAGTCTGTGAGAATAAGAGTGCGCTAACCAGAGTGATTACAGGGTTGTGACAAGGCCAAGGTGCAAGATGACTCGGCTTGGCGGATGAGCAGTCACGGCTTCGTGATAATTAATATCGATATAGAATGCGAGAGAAAAAAACACGCGATTCTTGGCCACGAGGCGATCGGGGCATTTCTCCAAGTGGAGTGGAGTGGGAACAGAATAGAGACCGAAAGTGGGGCAGTACGGGACGTTCAAGGCGAACATGACAGAACTTGGGGCTGAACTGGGATGTCGGTTTTTCCGTCGCAGCCAACGGTCAAAGGCATTTGGAGGGAAACCGTTAAATTGCCCCCCCCCAATGCGAATTGTTTAGGGCACCAGGCGTTGTCAAGCGTAGTGCACACTTGGCTGTGATTTGACGCTAATCGTCAGGAAGCGCTCTCCGGGCCACTGTGAACCAGTGGGCGTGCAGGGTTACAAGAGGCTAACGAACGTGGCATGTGTATCATCCATCCACTGATGTGAGCCTGTGCTGGATCCTGGGAGGACGTATGGATCCGATACGAAAGAAGGGATGATAAGCTCGTAAAGAAGGGGTATACATGAGGGTTGTGATTGGACAGTCAGGCCACGCCACCCACAGAACGGAAGTCCGTGCTGGGGACCCTGACACAATACCCCGCGGAGTGTTTCTGTGAAAGCACCGAAGAGAGAACCTAGCATGTAAGAATTATCCCATAATCACAATGCATGTAAGTAATTCGAGCATCAAGGGTAGTGGGTCCCTGGCAGCTTCAGATAGAAAGATCTGCCCTGACTTGGCGCGTACATGCGTAGGAGGCCGCGGCGGCGTGTCTATCCGTAACAAATCACCCTGAGCATCGACAACCGTGCCATAGCGTGCTGGGAGTACTGGTGCGGCGGTGAAGTAAGGCCTATGTAATTGATGCGCCTGGTATCTGGTAGGAAATGATGCAACTGCCGGTCGGCTGCATACAACCGTAGGGAGATGTGTTCGCACGGGAATGATTGCATTCAAAGAATGCAAGGGAGATGAGATTGAGGGAAGCTGTGAGTAAGGAACACTGCACTGATGTGAGCGCTCTACTTACCGCATTGATGCCCATGCTTCCTGACATTGTTCATCTCAAACCCTGCGCAGGGTTATATTGCAGCCTTTGTACTATCAATAGCAATAAGAATGCCACGCGAGCGGGCTTCAGACGTTGTAGTGTTAGGTGCCGCCTTGTTGTTGAAAGCACGTTAACAAAGTCTCCCCGCGGAACCTAGTGCAGCCAAGATAATATCCGATAGGAAGGAAATTGCTGGTATACCATTACAGCCGGTTAGAATGCAAGATCATGCAGCTAGACCTGTGCTGAACTCAATCTGTGGGGCTCGGCTTTGGGCACCGTTCCTTGTGGATGGTTTCGACTTTGAATGATTACTCACAACGTCACGCTTACAGGACACGAGGCTTGTTGAATGCGGCAGAGAGAGCGACCGAGATAGAGGGGAGGGATTTTGGTTGAGACGAGATTTCTTGCGAATAAGTGGGTGCAGAAGAAGCAAGTTGGCCCTGGTCAGGATTAGTCGGCAGGCTTGCTTGAAGCGCAAAGACTCCCGTGCTGTTGGCTTTTGTGGCAGACCGAGTATTGTCTCGCGGGCTACAAGGTGACCGATGCGAGATTGGCGATAGCGTCGAAAATGGAGATGCTATTGGTTGCTCGGGCGATTTTGCAGACGATGGGATCTACGACGGAAATATTGCATCTGAGATCTGATCTGGGAGAGCCATGGTGCGGCCAAGGGGTGCTAGGCTTTGGACGGGCGGCGGATGTGAGATGATGTTTGACAGGCCGTGATTAGCAGCACCCCGGCGATCTGGCAATGGCGGTGCACTGCGGGGCGCACAGGCGGCGGAAAGCCCACGCTACGTGACGTCGGTGGCTCTGGGGGCTTCTGGATGCTGTTTCAAGTGACAAATGGCAGGCTTTTGCGCGACCCAAATCCAAACTCAGATTTCGCCAATCGTCAGACCCATGGTGAGTGAGCCCTCGGGGGCTGCCAGGGTGTATGGGCTACCGGGACGAGAGCAGGCTTTTTTTTGTGTGTCGTGGCGCGTGTTAGGCCAGGTTTTTGTCTGGTACTCTAGGGCAGGATAGTGGAATGCCACGGCAACAAGAATGCGGATGGCGAGGAGGAGTTGCAGGCAGTCACAATATCCGAGGGTTGACGTACTGGCGGGTTGTGGGTAAGTATGGGTACGTACTTGGTAGTATTGGAAGTAGTCGGCGACTGCTGCCGCTGCTGCTGGCACTACTACTCTGTACTGTTGCCAACTACTAAGCCGAGTGCCATCGGAGGATCAGCGTGCACCAGCTGGCAGCAGAGTTTTGTCGTGATCCCGAGCTTGGCCAAGGGCTTGCTGGGGGGGTTCGATGAGATCGGAGCTAGGCCCAATGTGGCGACTCGCGTATCTGCCCCAGTCCCCTTTTGGGGCTGGCAGGCAGGGCGATCGCCAGTCAGGTGGATGGGTTGGAGATGGCGATGGCGATGGCGATGGCGGTGGGGGCGATGGCGGTGGGGGCGATGGCGGTGGGTGGGAATAAGAGAGCGGGAGTGGATGGTGACAACGGGTGACGTCGATGTGTTTGGACGTTGGGGCGGTGATTAATTCGTTGCGCATTTTCCCCGCTAGGTACAAGGGCTGACTGTGAGTGGTGAGGACTAGGACGAGGACGAGGACAACTCGACAGCAACACCAGCAGCACCTCGCAGCACATCTGCTTAGCCCGCTCGCTACCAGGCGCCATATCACCCGCGCGCGCGCCGGAGGTCACGGACAGCGGGTGCAGGCCCAGGATAGCCCCGGCGGCGTGCTGTTGGCCTGCGTTGTGCGTTGGTTGCTGGGCCTTTGCTGGGCCTTTTTATCCGACCGGCCTTGTGTGCTTGGCTTCTGGCCCAGCAGTTTGTGGAAGCTCCTGCGCTCCTTCACCTGCGATCTCGATGGCGATGGCGATCGCAGCGCCCTCGTCTTCAAACCTTCGCTCGCCCTCGCGACAATAGCCGGCCCACGTCTCGTCTCGGCGGCCTCGTGCACGACCAAACAAGCAGGTGGATAGTCAGGTACGGTGCAATTTGTTGGCCCTGGCTGACCGGTGCAGACAGCGAGCGAGAGTGAAGGGCTGCCCGAGAAACCTTTCTTCATCCACCGCCTTGGTCCGCCAGCCTGCCAGCCAGCCAGCCCCCCCGAACCCGCACCGGCGTTTTACTTGCTCCCACCTCAGCGGGAGATGGCGCACTGGTACTAGCATAGCATGCTTGGCCGCCAGCACGCAGACAGGCCGGCGGACAGGCAGGCAGGCATGGTGGTGATGGCGGCCATGGTGGTGCTCTCTGTATTGCTTACGAGCGCCGAGGGCCTACGCAGCGCGCAGCCATTGAGCATGGCGCCCGGGCTAGGCCCAAACCCAGCCCACCAGCCCACCCAGCCCAGTCTTGCTGCTGCTTGCTGTTCCACCCAACTCGCCGACCCGCCCGCCCTCTCTCAAGGTGCCGGCTATTGGGCCGCCCGCTTGCAGTTGGGTGGCATGGGCGCTGGTTGCTGGCTGCTGGCTGCTGGCTGCTGCTGGCACCTGGTTACTGCTGGCACCTGGCTGACCTGCTCCTCGCTGCTGGCACAGTACACACAGTCCCTTGGCCAAACCCCCTCGACGTGTGCTCAATTGGCAAAAAAGCACATGCCTTTGCTTCTTCCCTCGTCGTTATAATATACCCACGTAAGCCACCATCGCCCTCGTCCCCTCAGCCTGCTGTCTGCTCCCCCCCTCGCATTTCTGGCTTCCTCGCGCGCTGCCGATTTTTTGCGCTGCTACTCGACACCACAGCTGTGGCCGTACCATTACACCACGCATCCCCCCCTCGTTGTCCGCTAGCATCCGCAGCTTGATGATCCCGGCCTAAAGTCCCCGGCCCGCTTCTCAGAACTCTCCCATCGAAGCCACTCACGACGTCCGATCGCTCCCACCCCAGCACCAGACCCTTTCATCTGCACTAACCTCAGCCCTTTGTGCATCCGCCGCCCCTCTAGCACCCCCATCGCACTGCCTCACGTCACTTGTCGCGTATCTGCATCTGGCGTGCTGCTGTCCGAACCCTGTCGTCGCGATACGTGAGCGCCTCTAGCTCCGTTCTTTTTCGGCCCATCTCCTTGCTCCGCCCTTACCTTGTGCGCCGCCCGCCCACCCTGCACAGTCGCCACTTTTTTCCCCTCTCCCTTAGCATATACATACTTTGGCTCGCCCACCTCCCTTCGTCTCCTGCTTTCCCAATTGCTCCTCACAGTCGAAGTCGTTGCTAGACGTACCCCTCGAACTGTCCCCTTAGCCCATCAACTCAACCTGGTTGTCGTTGCCCACGCTCGGATCCCGGTTGAAGAAGCTACCCCACCCACTGCCGCCACACCACCACGACGACTGCCACCATCACTGCCACTACTGCTACTGCTGTTGCTACCATCACTCCCAATTCTCACCACCACCACCTGCTCTGGACCTCACCATGCCTGCTGAGCGTCGAACTTTCACCGCCGCCCGCCCGGTCAAGACGGAGCGGACCCACGAGGAGAACCAGGAGCGGTTAGTCGTCCCAAGCCTGCTTTGCACAAAATTCACGTGCTGATCCTACACAGCGCTTACATTGCAGCCTCGCGCCGTAGTGATCGCAGCCTGGAGGCTCGCATCGAATCTGCGCGTAGAGCTTCTGAGATCCACAAGAAGCGCACAGGCCGCGCACTGCGTGTGACTGAGCAAGATGTCATCAATGAAGAAATGTACGAAGAAGAAGACGATGACTTACCTACGCAGTACCAGCGCCTCAACGCGCACTTGCACACCACGTCGGTCATGTTCAACAAGAAGCTCCATGACTACATTGCAACCCAGCACGGCGTGCGAAACATGTTCATGTCGCAGTACCAGAACCAGAGCCCCACCTTTCCGCAGTTCGGGGCTCAGTTCCCATCCACCGCCGGCGCTTTTCCACAGGCAAACAATTGGCTGAGCCCCACCATGCTGCCACCCCAGCAATTCGCTCCTTCCTCGCCCCAAGGCTTCCAGCAGACTCAGTCCTTCAGCCCCACCACCACCACCACTCAGCCTCAGCAGGGTTATCGGCAGTCCCCCTACCATGTCCCTCAACGGACACAGTCGCATCAGCGTGCTCTTTCCATCCAGCTTCCCCAGGCCCCCACGCAGTTTGATCACTCAGCTCAGCCACCGAGCGCAACCGCCACGACCCCCCAGACTGATGTCAACCGAAGCATGTCTCTGCCTCCTCAAGCCTTCCAGACCCAGAATCAGTCTGCCGAGCAATCTGCCCAACCGTCGCTGACGCACTCGCCTGCTACCCAGTCATCTTCCCCCGCCGATGGCTCCGTCGCCGACGCCCAGCAAGCCCCCAGCGACTCTACCAGCCCTTCTTCGTACTCTTTCAGCCCAGCAAGCTACCCTTTTAATTCTCACGTCTTTGGCACCAATCCTTTGACTTTGTCCATGCCGCCTGAGTCGCAGCAGTTCCTTGGATCATTCCTTGACCCCAACGATGCACGCACCGCTACGCTTATGGCTGGCAGTGAGAATCTGCCTCAGCCTTTTGCTCCCACCTACACCTACAATCCTAACAAGGTGTCGCGAACATCGAATGCCATGAATGTTTCCGAGAGCGTTCCCGCTTCCACCCAGACACTATCGTCTGGTCTGAACCTCAAGGTGGAATCCCTATCTGACGACTCATCGGCGCTGCCCACTTCCATTTCCGAGAGCTTCTATCCCACTGACGGCTTCCTTACTCCCGGAAACCCCGATTACGAATCATTTTTTGACTTCCAAGGTGCTGGATATGCTCAAGCCTTTGACGACCACTCGGCCAACGACCAAGACAACGGTAACAGTCTAGTGAATTGGGATGAGTAGTCGCAGCATTCACCTGGTTTCTTTTTAACCTTCTTTAGCTTGCTGCCACACCCACGTCGTTATTCTCATATCGGGCAACCCCCATTGTTTTCCTTTAAATACTTGTTTCCTTTTTTTTTTTACTTTGGAGTAGCGATTCCGGTTTTGCAAGCAGATGATACCTCTTACACAGTGTCGTTACGATGTCACGACTGAAGGCGTTGTCCGGAGTCATTTTGGGCGCCCCGAAAACGCTCGACCTTTTGTTGGATATGCATACATATCCGTATAGCGACGCTTAGCAGCATCGCCTGGGAGACAAAACTCTCTTCCCTCTCGGTCCCCATCTTCGAACTGAGGTATTCGTTGTATAGTATAATTGTTATTGCGGCCTCCAAGCTGCTGGTCGCACAGAAACCTTCCCCCTGTGGTATGACTTGTGATTTATGTGTGTGTGTGTGTGTGTGTGTGTTGTGACGGAGTATTTTGCATGCAACCATGATGCGGTAAGTTCCTCCAACTACTGTCCCAGTGGACCCTGTCCGTCTTGCCGTGCTCAAATCCCGAAGGGAGTGGCGCACTAGATGGAGTGGTGTATCAAGTTTCGCAATCAACCTGGCTATACAGATGGCATGTTATTAGTTTCGTCGGCCTTGGGCAGCAAAAGTGACACTGGTGCCAAGCACGTAACTGTGCGAGCCATGGAGAGGATGCGTAACATGTAACAAGCAGGATCGACTTGTCAATCAGATTGCGTTGTACTGCTGGCACAGAAAGGTACCTTGGTAATGGTTGACTAGGTGTGCTTTTTCAATATCGTCTTGTTCGGCGTCGTGACGCATGGTCCCTCGAGGCAACTTTGTGCAGGTGTACTTGGGGGACCGGGAAGCAGCGGAACAGCGGTGTGCTTGCCGAACAGTCACCTCTCAGGTAGGTAAAAAGACATGCTCAAACGCTCTTTCGCCGTCCAATAAACAAGCTTATTGTTAGTGCTGACGGCTCTATTTCTACCGTGCTCATGGTGGTGAACAAAGTAGAAAGCTGGCACCCACCCTGTATCTCGAGTGTGCGAAGTAGCGGCACTTGCAGTTCCCTTGGCTCGCTCACAATGCAAAGACAAAAGTGACACACGTGAGAGTCGTACATGGCCTGGTTGCACAGCAACTCATCCACATTCAACACTTGTCATCGGTCTATATGGCTCTGAGACCTGCTCGCGCCACTTTACGCAGGCTCTGATCAATGAGCAACACGGTGCATGCGAAACACATCACTGTGAGCGTTTACAGGCTTTGAGAGCTTGCTTACGCCCTATCGACCCTATCGCGAATCGTGCAGGCGCCTTGCAGCATCGTATGCCCGAGTTTTGGTTCCTGCATCATTGTGTCACCATGGCTATTCCAGCCTCTTGCCCAATGATACCAAGCGGTTCGTTCTTTCCCTCTTCGCAAGGAGGTTCATCAAATTATTTTTCAAGGAGGCCACACGTGATCTACAGCATTACTCTCATGTTCCTTGGAATACAAACATAGTCACAAACACTACACTGGGTGTACCGTCTGGCTTCGAGTCACTCGAGTCCATTGACTCGCAATAACACCATGTCCAGAGTAACTGACAGCGGTGGACGTCACCAACCCCAAAACTGATTGGCATCGTCACTTCTGTCATCCGTAACTTTGGTCTCCAACCGGCGGTCGTAGTATTTGCCTTATTCTGCACTACCGGCAGCGGCCGCGGCACTGCCTGCTGTGTAACACCCGGGACCGTGCATCATGCATCTTCTCCGCAACCACCTCTCCATACTAGGACCAAAAAGCCCAACCCATGGTTACCTTCTCAATGCACTCGGTTTCTTCCATGGACGTGTCTGCAGGCAACGTAGAATATACTTTTGTAAACAACAAATCAGAAAGTTGTATATAGCCTACTAGACTTGCCCAATCAACATCCAGAGCCTCATAGTCCAGCTATACCACAAAGGGGGACTAAGAGTATAAGAATTCTGTAAGAATCTAGACGCAGAGAAATGGCAACGGAAAGCAGATATGCCTTGTTGCATATCTGTACCTGCATCGCAACCCAGTACCTTAACCTTGTGCCACCGCAACGTCAGACCCACACCAAGGTTGCTGTCGTGGTGGAACAAGGGCAAAATATATAAAAGGCAACGAGACTCGACAAGACCAAGACTCAAGCCCCTCAGCTGTAGCTGTTTTGTTGGACTCACTCTACTCTCGCTTCTTAATCTTCTGCCACTCATTTCTGTTCGTCTCTTAGCATCTTGAGGCACTACTAGTCAAATTTAACCATGAAGCTCAACACCTACGTATCTCTTGTGGCGTTTGCGGCCTTAACTGCTGCTGAACGGCATCCTTGTACGTTTTCCCTTTTACTAGTGTGACTTTTAAAAGTTAGCAGTCTTCAGCTACTGTTTTGGCATTCGAATATACACAATTGCTGACACTTTTTTTGGTCAGTGAATCTACCAAAGCATGTGCGGCCTCGCCAATATTCTACTCCACCGCCATACTCGCCTGTGGGCCCGAGTTCGAGCAGCGGCAGTGGCAGCGCATCATCCAGCTTTCCTAACGGATCTTCAACCTCGCTGGCTACCGGCGTCTCTTCCACTGTTGACGTGCCATCTGCTCAAACGTCCTCATTACCGCCTAATGCCACATCATCTGGTCCTTCTACCATCGTCGTTACAAGCGTAGTTGTTATTACATCGGCCATTCCACCTCTACCGTAAGCTACAATGCATAATGCATCGCGGAAATCAAATGTTAACATTTGCATGCAGTACTACTTCGACCTCTACGGATGCTACTAGAAGCAGCTGGGGAGTCAGCAAATCTTCCTCCATCAGCATCCCGCTTCCCACAAGCCCCCAATCATCCGGGACTGGCTCCCACTCTTGGCCTCACCAGTCTTCACCTGGATCGTCAGCACCTTACGGCAATAGCACTTCAACCTCTTCATCTCCATGGGGCACAGGCACAGTGTCAATTTCCTCAAGCCCGCCCCTGACTTCTGCTACCAGTAGCCGTCCCTCCGCAGCCACCAGCTCCCCTCCCTACCCTTCAAACAGTACGCTCACAGAAACCAGTACGGGCCCTGTAGCTACCTCGAGCGGAAACGCAACCACATCCACAGTCCCCACTTCCTCCGCCCATTACAAACCCCCCGGAAACTTCACCAGCAGCCTCTCCATCGCAACCGACTCCGTCTCCCCACCCTCAACCCCCGATGTCTCGACAATCAGCTGGATCTCATTCACATCGGGAAGTCCATCCGCCACACCATCGAGTGCATCGTCGACTTCAAAATACACAAGGTCTACCTCGTCGCGCCGACGCACTACGACGACGACTAGACGCCGGTCGACAACACGTACGTGGAGCAGGACGCTGACTATGTCGTTTTCGTCGACGAGGTCTGCTTGGTTTACACCTACGCCTACGCCTTCGAGTGATTTGCCGTGGACTAGTAGTGCGGTGTCGGAGGAGGAATCTTCTACGCCGGCTTCGTGGTCTGGAAGTACGGTTACGCCGTCGGCATCGGAGAATTGGCCTTTGTCTTCTGCTACTACGCCCTCTGAGTCTGATAGCTGGTCGTCATTTTCAGCCACACCATCTGAATCAGATGGCTGGCCCTCATCTTCCCCCACCTCTTCTCCCCCCAGCTCATCCTCCGACCAAACCTCCTCAACCAGCTCTCCCGTATGGCCTCCAGTCTCCTCCTCCTCCTCCTCATCATCATCATCATCGCCATCCGACAGCGCCACAACACCCTCCCCATCCCCCTCAACAAGCACCGACGCAACCACATCATCCTGGCCCGTAACCCCCTCCTCCTCTTCTTCCCCATACAATTCATACTCCACACCACCATCCACCTACACCGATGCAACCGCGTCGTCATGGCCTGTCAATACCCCTTCCCCATCTCCCTCGCCTTCATTATATACTACGTATACTTCTTCTTCTTCTTCCCCCTCATCCTCTCTTTCTTCCTCAGCCTCTTCGCTTTCTGCCTCCTCTTGGTCGGCGTCATCGTCAGCGTCCGCGTCCGCCTCCATCTCCTCCGCAAACCCAAGCACCACCTTCCTAACCAGCACCAGCACGAGTAAATCTCAAGCGTACTACGCGCCCGTGCCGCCCGTGCAGACGTATGCGAATCAACACGAGCAGCGGGCCGACAAGGAGAAGAGGGATGTGGTACGTATACCCCCCCCCCCCCGGCCTCTCAACCCATGCGTGAGATGAGATTCCGGACAGTACTAACATGGGTGGGGGGTGTTGAGTAGCTAGGACTGTGGTTTGTGTAATCGGTCTCGGTACCGAATATGATCCATTTGGTGTCTTATTGGGATGGGTGGGGTGTAATGGATGGGGGGTGTTAGGCAAAGTGTCGTTGAGATGAACACGGAATAAGAGAGAAAAATAAGAAGAGGAGAGATGATGATGATGATGGATGGATGGATCAGTGGGTGGGTGAGGATAAAGGGTTTTTTTTTCACTTCTCTACTCTCCTTGATACGACTATATAATGGAATTCTTTTCTTGGTGTTAAGGCTGTTGGAAAAAGGGATTGGATGTGTGAAAAACACTGCAAATCAAAAGATGATTTACTATGACTTTGGATCAAAGGCTTGTTTGAACTTTTTGAGGACAGGGACAAGTGGGTGTGAGGGGTTGTCATAAAACGAGGCTGCCAACATACGAGGAAGAAGGCCCTCAAGAACCCTCGTCATCACCACACAACCACATTCACCAAAACCACAAGACGTAAACACAAGAAGCCCCGAGTTATTCCATTGAAAACATTAAGATTCATTTCGCCCTGCGCACAGGCTACTTGGGTTACTTTTATAATCCCTCTTCCCCATCATAAGATATGCAATTCGCTCATAGTTCATTACGCATCCCCTATATCATCCTCACATCTTGCCCTTAACCTCCCCCTTAACCTCTGCCGCCTTGCCCTTGGCCTGTCCCGCAACCTCACTCGCCTTTCCCTTGGCCTCGCCTGCAACCTGGCTCGCCTGGCCCTTGGCCTCTCCCGCGGTGTTGGGTGTAGCTTCCTTGACGGCGTTGGCGACTTCCTCTGTTCATCGAATCATGCATTAGCCAACCATACACACGATATAATGCGATATAATAAGGGAATGCGAGGGGGGTAGGACCATATGATGTCGTCATGTTCTCAGCTAACGTAAGGCTAGCGTTAGGGAGTGCAGATGTGGGTGGAGAGGGAATGTGGAGAGGGGAAGAGGAAGGGGAGGGAGAAAGATGGGAAAGAGGGAAAACGTACCGCCCTTCTCGATACCCTTCACAGCAGCACCAGAGATGGTCTTGTCGATAGTCTTTGCGGCATCCTTGATAGCGTCTACAGGGCTCTTGCGGGCAACGGGGGTAGTGCTGAACAGGCGAGCCTGGCGGACAATCTGTTGACGAAACATATTTGCTTTGTTTATTTGCTCGTTTTGATGGTATGTGGTTTGGGTTTCGAAGGCTAACGTGGATGCCGTTGAATGGTGAGAAAGAAAAGTTGTCAATTGAAGCTTGAATAGAAGTTTGCAACGAGTGCGGGCGACACGACAAGCTTTAAAGGATAGGTGGGAAGGGTGGAGTTAGTTGGTAGCTGCTGTGGTATGACGTCGATGTGATCAGCCAAGGAAAAGTGGGTAAACTACGCGCATGTGCATGTGGAACAAACATCGCGATTTGCGAATTTCGCATCTGAGAGGAACGCCCGATTTCTTGCATGTGCAAGGTGTTCGTTTCTGTTATTAACAATACGTATTCGTCTAGTGATATTAATATCCTTTACTCTTTCCATTGTCCGTTGTTCTCGTGATTAATTACTTCCTTTTGCGACGTCTAGTATAGCGCCTTCTGCCACCATGCACACCTAGCATTAGCATTACGGTCGCGGACCTCTTCAAAACCGGTAATGTCGAGCTCCAGGACGGTTGCGTTCGGCCCGTACATGTTGAATTCTTTGACGCCAACCGCATCTGGGACACCTGTTTCGGCAAAGCTTGTAATGAAATCTTGCAGAGCCCTGGCAACAGTAGCGTTGGTGACGCTATTAGAAAGAGCTCCGCCGTCGTAATAAGTATACGGCACGTCCTGTCCGTGTAAAGCTGGAGGAACGGCGAAGAGATAGACATATGTCTCGTTTCCATATGCCTCTGAGAGGTAGTAGGTGTTGCAAGTAAAGGCGCTCTCGGCAACGATCAGTTTACTACGCTCGTAGTCGTTTCGGTAACCCAGGGAGCCGTCGAAAACCGGTGGGTACAAGGTGTCTACAATATAGTCAATCGTTGACTGCGGCGCATTGGCATATGATTTTCCGAGCTGGGTTCGTAGCGCAGTGGAGGTGTTAACTGAAGTAGGCGTAAAGACGGCTCCTTCGTCGGCATTGTAACCAATCATGACGCGTACGTCCTTGTCGAATCGTCCCTGTGCCAGGAGCAGGCCGGGTTGGAGAGGAACGAAGTCTCCATCCACGACGGGTCCATAAGTATAGGAGCCATATGGGGAGTCATAAATGACTTGCTGAGCATTGGCGCGAATGACGTCGTCAGATGACAGGGCGCGGAGCTCAGCCAGAGACGTAACGCCAGTTAGGTTGAGAAACCTATCGTATACAGTCTCCTGGGTAATAAGGGAGTTGACTGGCTGCCAACCAGGGCTCTGCGGAATCGCTTGCTGGAAGGGAGCTGGGCCCTTGGAACCTCCGTATGCGGTAATCTGGTGCATGATGGAACCTCCACCTGCACTCTCTCCGAAAACTGTAACCTATGCAAAATGTCAGTCATGTCAGGTATGAAAAAAAACGACAAACTCTTGACTCACTCGGTTCTTGTCGCCGCCGAAAAGATGAATGTTTTCTTGGACCCACTCGAGCGCCATACGCTGGTCGTACAAGCCTAGATTAGATGTACCTCCCTCCGACTGGAAAGATGGACCTCCCATCCAGCCCAAAGCACCCAGGCGATAGTTCATGGCAACGTAAATGACATCTCCATTAGTCGAGTTTCCAGAAGCAGCAAGCAGACCGGCGGGGTTAGCATTCTTTGATCCTCCGGTGTATCCACCACCGTAAATCCATACGAGAACTGGAGCTCCGAATCCTTTACCGGCATTCTCGAAGACATCCTCGGGCACAAAAACGTCGAGGAAGAGGCAATCTTCTGATTCTCGAGGATCAGGTGGTGGGACTACGGCGCTGGCATTGGCTCCTGATGGTACATAGGGAACTGGCGGTTGTCCTAGTGCTTGCGCAACCAACGACGCTGCAACAGTTGCCCCCCATGCGCCAGTAGCCTGTGGGCAAATCCTACAACACGTAAGCAAAAAATCTCACTGCATATTTTGAATTGACTCAAAATACCTTGCTTCATCACCGTTGTTGATTGCTGACCGGTTCGTTGCTGGAGCCTGGGGCGGTGCCCATCTCAGCTCACCAACAGGAGGCGCAGCATATCGAATATTCGAAAAGTTGTAGAAGTTGCCGGTTTCCTAAGAGGGAAAGAAAAGTCAGAAAAAAAATCACCAGCTACACTCCCAATTGGGATGACAAGACAACGTACATTAAATCCCGAAGCGCGGTAGACTTGGTAGCCTAGGTCAACAGTAGGCAGTGACGACGAGTTCTGGGCGTACACCGAACCCACAAGGGCCGCTGTAGCAGCACCGAGACGAAACATTATCAAAGTACGTAGCAAACCCGGAGGAAAGGTAAACGGGACGCAAACACAAAGAAAAAAACCACAGCAGGGCAAGCGGAGGACCTTAAAGTATTTGTTTTTGTCTTTTCCCCCGGGGGACCTCACTTCGCCTCGTGAATTACCAAACAATGATCTACCTTTACCGCGGCATTTGCAAGGTACTCAGCAAAAACGCCGCTTTCTAGCCAAATGTAGACACCAACTCCATATACAGCTTGTTGGCATCTTACCGAAGCTAAGTTGTTAGTGGACAAGTTTCTTTGGCCCAAGTACGCTCAAGTAGCCGCAAACAGAAGTAAGCTCGAGTTCAATGCACCTCCCCCCAGGCAAGCCACTCAGTATAGTTAAACCGTGAAGGGGGAGGTCCAGACTAACACCTCGACGGGTACGCATGGCCGGATTATGTGGCTATGTGGAGTATAGAATGTATACGTCATGGGGCGGAGGCGCTCGGCGGTACAGCGCATGAATTAATTCGTCCGTGGAATAGTGTGTTAATTGCGCTCAGCCCGTCAATTCGACGTGTACAAACTGACGCTTGTCATGGCTGCCTGAACTTTTGAGACAAAAGTATTGTTCATCTTTGCAAGCAACATGGCCCAACTTTTGGACGGTTGAAACAAAGATGTTTAGGTAGATGTCAGTATCTTTTTTGGACCCGGCAACACGGCACCCATCCCCAAGGTCATCTCGGTTGGGGCATGATGCGAGCTCCGCATTGAACAAACCCGCACTAAGATCTTTGTTTTCCCCACCATGACGCCTTGCCTAAGGCAGGCTTTTGGGCCGAGGTACCCGTGTTTGCTGTTCGCTGACGACCCGCTAGTGTCGCCTTGGGGCGGAGTAAGATGCGGAGTCGAAGAGCTGGAGAAAATGCGGAGGACGGGAGAAAAGAAAGTTGAGAGAGAGAGAGAGAGAAAGAGAAAGAAAGAAGACAGAGAATAAAGTTACTCGGGGAAAAGAAAGCTTCAATGGTGTATTTAGACTCGGTGGTCGCTTGACGTTCGGGCTTAGCCTACTATGTATACTACTCCCGGGGCACCTTGTTTTGCCGCTTCAACCCCGATCTCAATCCATGTTGACCAAAGATACCTTCCTTTGAATCCTATATTAAGATCTTATTACACATGTATTGCATGTAAGCGCCCAGATAACGGGGACCAAGAGACACACCATGTGCGCATTCCGAATCTCGTTCAGATGGATGATAAAATATAATGACACACAGGTAAGCGGTGCGTCTTGGACTTGATTACTCGAACAATACTCACAGCTACTGGGCAACTCTGACGAATTCCCTGAAAGCCGAAGTCACGCGGAAACCACAAATCGATAGATAACAAGTCACGTGGAGCAAGAGTGTCCATTATCAGTAACATTCAAACTCCCCCCCGTCTTTGCCGTTTATTTTGTTTTTCTGCTCCCCCCCTCCCCCTAAAAGAAAGGGCAGTCAAGGCATATCACCAATCGTTCACTCATTCTCTGACATCCTCCAAAAAGCAAAAGTTCCACATGCAGTGTTACCCATGAACCCCCTTCTATACTTACCTACTATGCTACACAAAAAGGCAAGAACCAAAAAAGAAAAAGAAGCCCTTGTAAATTAAACAGACGCAGCAAGCAAACCGTGACACAAAAAATGCCGCAGCGTACAACAAAGTACAAAGCGTCGCAAAAAAAAAAGCGGTGACTATGGCTTTCGTTAATGCTGCTGACGAGTCGCGCGCGTCTCGAAAGTTTGAAGGGGGGGGACACAGAAATAAGCAAAAGAATGCGGTGGGAGAGGACAATGGAAAACGGCTAGGGCTAAAGCTAGTGCGCGCGCCCACGCGGCATTTGTTCTAGAATAGATAGGATAGAAAGGCAAAAACACTCGGGGTATTTTGAATATTTTTCTAATGATTTACGAAAGGAAACGGGAGCGGATAAATGCATCAGCCCTAGATAAGTGTGTTATCTACAGTATTATAGTAGGCGCATACGACCACGTTTCAGATTTTGGAGGGGGAGGGAGTGCCCATGATGCCCTCGTGGCAAAAAAAAAGGCTACCAGTACGACAGAACCCCCCCTCGCAATGCCTGTCAGTTGCCGTGCGTTGTCGCCGCCGCCGCCGCACTCCACCGCCCGCCCGTCCCCCCAATCCAAGACAGCGGGAAAAAAAACGAAGCTAGTACCGGACTGGACCTGCAACTCATCATGCGCATGTTGAGTTAAGAGGGGGCGCTCGCGCACCACGCGTGGGTAAGGGGGGCTCGACTCGACCCTGACCGACTAAACTCCACCTATAGAGTAGACTACAACTACACTAACTAATCCGACACCTCTTCTTTCTTTCCCCACCGGCCCAACACACACACCCACTCCTGTGCGATAACAGAAACAAAAGAAGATATGCAGCGGCCATCATTGCCATGATGAACGAGGGTGACTTTGGTGGTGCTAAAGTTTTTACGCAACAAGAACGCACGCTGAGAGCGATTGCTTTTCTGCAAGGTTGAGCCTAGTTAAGAGGATTTGGGGGCGGGCGCTGCTGTCGGTGAGAGAAAACGGAAACGGCCATGGATAAGTTTCAGCGCGGACATCACACTCATTCGACGCCAGCGTCCGAACGGACGAGGAGCCGGGCTCCGACTGCGACGGGTGACAAGACGATTGCGAAGAAGAGATCGAGTTTGGGACGGGCAGCAGGCGGGTTCCAAAGCAGACTGCTTGCGTCGTTGCGAAGTAGGAGGAAGAGCGACAGCAATGGGCTAGCGCCGAGCAGCAGCAGCAGCCCCTCGAGGTACGTGCCGTATCAAATCATGTATCACCCGGCAGTCGCTCATTACAGCCAAGCAGCAGCCCGTTTCTAGATGCATTGTTCCGCCTGCCAGAGGAGCTTCACATCTATATGCTACGCGAGCTTTGCGTCGCTGACTTGCTTGCATTGCGACGGACCTCGCGCGTGCTCAATATGCTGGTTATGGAGAATGCGCCGGCCCTGGTGCGGTACTGGGTCAAACACCGCATGGGCAATCTGCACCTGCAACTGTACCCTGCGCCGAGGCCCAATGCCATTGACTTTCCCTTTTTACTGACAATGAGACGGCGGCATATCGCGTCCCTGAGGTTGACGCGGCAGCTTGCCGATCACCTGGTAGGCGAGCCGGTGGAGCCAGCAGTGTCCCCACGCCAGATGCAGCTGTGGTCCTCGGTCTATGAGCGGATGCTCCCTCTGGTCTTTGGCGTGGGATACTTTCTAGACGAGCACAGACGGCTGCTGTTGGACAGGGACCTCGGACATATACGACCGCGTTCACGGATTGGCTACCACGTCCGCACGACACCGGGAATTGCCGACCAAGAGAGGAAGATTGTCAAGAATCTGGATGCACCACTGCGGCTGCAGTACTTTTACATGTACTGCTTTATAGTGCAGGTGCTGCTGAGAAAGACACGGCCGGCAAGTAGTGCTGAGGCGGTGGCAACGTTTCTACGCGGATGGTCCCACCAGCCGGCGTGCTACGAAGACGTTGCCTTTTTCCTGATACTGGGCGGTATAGGCCGGGTGGCCAAATTGCTCGCGTGCCCAACGTACAATGAGCGGAGACGGTACCTGCTTTCGTTCCGGACGCACATGTCGCCGCACACGAGCAAGTGCTGGAGAAGGCACTGGAAGGATGCAGGCGTAGTATCACCGGCTTTACTCGACGATATTCCTTGCACGCAGATTGGCATCACGCAGCTAGACCAGATCTGGGCTCCACTGATTGCCCAGATGATGGGGCCTGGATCCAGGGACTGCAGTGAACAGGAAAAGAGGCGCTACGAGGAACTAAAGTTGTCGGGCAAGTTCATCAACGAAGTGATGGGGTACGACATCCTGCAGGGCCGTGCAGCAGATGGGGGCGAGCTTGACGATGACCACGAGCCATGAAAAAAAAAGTATGTATGTATCATGGGTTAGCAGGGGAGTTGCTCTAGGTACATGATGGAAGGAGAGTAGAGAAGAAAAAAACCCTTGTATCGGTACCATTGAAGTGCCGTCCATGTTTGTTGTTAGGTTCTGACACATGTATGGTGCCGGGCAATCTCCGCTGGTTTAGCGGTTAAAGAGGCTTTTGTGTTTTGGTGTGGCTTAGTTTGTGCTTAAAGATGCAAGCAGCCCACATGTATTACGTACAGGACCGGTGGACTAGCGCGGTATAGAGGCCTAGTTTGAATTGAGGTCTGTGGACCCTGCAGAAGTCACGATGGAGGGTTTTTGTTGGTGAGTGACATTAGGCTTGGCGTGTTTTTTTTTGCATGTGCTTGACCTTAAGAGGAGGGCGTCAAGCAAGCTACCCACTGTGGTCTGGGCTTAGCATGTCAACGGCGGTTGCTGTGTGGTTCAATAGCACAGGGCGAGACAAGGGGGGACAGTTGGAGAGGCGTCGTCGACTGGTGGAGACGTGGAGGTATGTGGTGGGGTAGAGAGAGGTGCGGGATATTGCGACATGCGTAGTAGTGGGATGTGTGTATTTTTGTTTTGCTGGATTGGGGCAAGGTGGCAGGTGGGTGGCGGATAAGATAGAGAGGCAGCAGATGTCGCCAGAGCCAGAGCTATAGAGAGAGAGAGAGGCCAGACCCTGGAGGGGTTGCCGTGAGGGCCGGAAGCGTTGAGTCTGTGCGTGTCTTCTAGAAAGCAGCGAGTGAAGGAGGGGAGTGGAGCTCGGGTGTGGCTCTGCAGCAGACTGGCCGATGTGCAGCGAGGGGCGCAGCCAATGGCGTCGAGGCGAATTTTGCCGCAGCGTCAGTGGGCCGTAGCAGACAGAGTTGGAGTGGCAGCAGCAGCAGCTAGGACGGCATTACCCATTCATTACCCACAGCCTGGCGGGCTGCAAGCACGCGACATGACGGCAATTCAGCCGATGCTGATTAACGGCGACGGGCGAGACGGTGACGGACAGGGTGCTGCAAGTAGAATAGAGGCAAAGTCGAGTCAAGCTACGGTGCAACGGGCAGCATAGACAGCAGGGAGCATCCAAGACGGCTTGATGGTCTTGGGACGTTTCAGGCAAAAGCAAAGGCACGCAGTAGTGTAGGAGTAGTAGGTATAGTGTACGTAGTTGATAGGCAGAGGCAAAGGAGGGCAAAGGCGGGTGCAGGTCAATTGTGATTGCAAATGAATGGTTCCGTTCCGTGGCAGATTGGGGATGACGTGCAGAGAGCCAGACAGACAGGCAGGCACGCAGGCAGGCACGCAGACTGGCCCAGCTGCATCGGGAAGGGGCGATTGTGTGGATGCAGATGGATGGATGCATCGAGACGAGGCTGCGTCATTGGCTGCGAGTCGGCGAAGGGCGGACGGGGTGGGTGGATGCGCGGAATCGAGTGACAGCGCGACAGGCCGAGATGAGAAACAAGAGAACAACACTATGTGCGGAATTACCTACCTTAGTTACTACTTACTACCTAGCACACCAAAAGATGCTACTTGCATGCTACAACAGTGAGTATGTACATTCATGCCAACACCCACCCGCCCACACACACACACCATCATCGTCATCGTCATCACCACCACCACCACCACCACCATGACGTGCAGCTACGTAGCACAATGTACATACATGTATGTGTACTTGCGTACAGTAGTGTACATATGTACAAGTCTACTTTCATGTGCTCTCGCTCGCCCTCTCGCCGCCGGGTGCGTCTGGGGCGTCTGCAAACTGCAATGGGCTGCCCACCAGCTCCAACGGCGGCGCAGCCAATGGCGGGCCGTTGATGCTGACCGCAACAACAGGCCGCATGCATCCCGGTCACTGTAGCGTCGGCTCTTGGACAGTTGCTCCGCAGCCCCCGTAATTACTCCTACCACTTGCACCCAGCCCAGAAGAAGCCAGCATGCGAACTAAAATCCCGCTGCTCTCTACTCATGCCCTACTGCGCCAGTCCCAGCCCTAGCGTCGTCCTACACGCCCAAGCCCCAAACCATATAATCCCAAGAGCCCGGCCCAGCGTTTGCGACCACCACCCAAACCAGTCCCCATCCAAGTGCCACCCCTTCCACTTCCTCCACCCGCACGCCCTGCCCGACTCTCTCCACGAGACACCTCCACCACTACCACCATCACCACTACTACCACCTTCCCATACACTGGCGCACCACCCTCACTCCACCACACCACACCATTCACCACTCACAGCAGCCACCCACCACCCCATCTCTCCGCCGGCTCAAGTTTCGCGCGGCAACTACGCCTCTTCTGGGCTACCCATCAGTCAGCTGAGCCACCACTCCCGACCCCACCATTACACACTGCCAAACACCATGAGACGGTAGAGATTAGATAGCAGCAAACATGGACTTTACGGTAAGCACCCGCGCGCTTGTCCCTGCCTCCCTTCCCCAAAACATGCCCTGGCCTGCCCCCGCCCGTCGCCAGCTACCCGTCATGTGTCCCCAAACCTCGCCGCCCTCCCGAGCAAGCATCACGGCTAACGCGACGCCTCTTAGATTTCGCTCGCACACTTTTGCGAAGTCCACGGTCCTACCTCCATCATCTGTACCCAAGCATCCACCTCGCCCTGCGGCTCCTGCAACCCATGCGTCACGCCCCCGTCCGATGAGCCCCATTCGGCCTGCTCTTATAATGGCCTGTACGACCAGCCCACCTCCCTCAAGCTGAACCCGCGCGCCCCCCAACTCAACTCGCCCTTTGACTCGCCGCCCACCAGCCCAAACTCGCCCTCACATAACCCATACTTCCCCAGCTGCTCCTCGTCGTCCGCTGGCAGCAGCTTTGGCGGAAGGAGACCTAGCAGCACCCTCGAATCAGACTCGGACGTATGCGAAAACTGCCAGATGGTAGTTCCCCAAAAGTACAGCGACAAGATTCCCAACGGCGCCCCCGGCAGCCCCACCAAAGACGGACGAGGAAGGAACGGCAGTCCCGTGTTACGCAGCTCACAAAGCTATCCCGTACGACGCCCTATTTCGCGCGATGATGTCAGCAGTACCGATTCGTCAGACGTCTCCGACACCGAACAGTCGGCTTCCTTCCAGAGTGGCAACTCGAGCTTGTATCCCGACTCGGTACCTGCCTCGCCCTCTCTTAGCTCAAGAAGCATCCACACCCACACCCTCAACTACATCTCCACCAGCCAGCCACAGTCGCCCAGCACCTACTCTCTACTGCGACGCACCTGCATCCGAACTTTGTCGACCGAGGTCCTCCCCCTCAGCAAGCCCTCTGGTCCCATAATGTTTGGAGACTCGGTCGCCGGCTACACTATTGCCTACGTCTTCCGTCTGCAGGATCCGCGGTCGCGAGGCGCTAAGCGCACCTATGCGCTTATTGCTATGGCCGGTCGCGATTGTCGCAGAGCCACAAAGGCCATGGTCAAGATTACCGAAGCTTTCGAGGGCATCGCCAACAGAATCATTTCGCTGGCCGATAGGGTTCTTGAGCGCGAGAGCGCAGCCTCGCAGAGCATACCGCGTCCAGCAACGGCCGTACCCGGAAGCACTCCTCCCCTTGGCACTTCGGCGTCCTCGACATCCTCGACAACCTCACAGCTCTTATCGTCTCAGAAAGAGAGGACCTCGTCGACCACCAGTGCGCCCAGTTTCCGCAACATCACTCCCGTCTCTTCTTTCTTGTCTGCCAAAAAGCTCGACCCCGATGGCTTCCCTCGTGTGTCTCGTGACGTGATGAAGGCCAAGAGCCTGATTGAGATTGTCGGCCAGGAAAACTTCTTCGTCGACCTTCACACCCTCTTCTGCCGACTGCTACACTCTTTGATCAAGCAGTACGGATAGACTGTTCCCACCTGTCGCCTCTTTTCAGCGTACACCTTTACTTTCTCTTCGTTGTATGTCTTACTCATTGTTGCATTTCCTACTAGTCGTTTCTCGTCGTGCGTTATAGCGTTTTCCTTTTCCATTAGTTCCACAGTGTGTTGGAGCGCCGGCGTTGGGGTACAACCACTTTTCTTCCAACGACATGTTATCTTGCTTCGCGACTCACAGACCAGACGATCAAGGTCGAGTAGCTTTATACCCTGTTTGCGATACCCGAAGCTTCTTGTTTTTATTGCCGGGACTGAGCAGTGCACATTAGATTCGTGCAACCTGACTCTTACAACGGCGTTCTGGAGAGGGTAATCGGGGATGCGAGTGTCGACGATGGAATGCTTGCTACTATGTTAAGTTTCTAGTAGCTATGGCGTGATTAACGTCGTGGATGAGGTGATGGAAGAAGAACAGTAGTCACAATATGAAGTTGTTAAGACGATATTCGGTGTCCTTATGAGTACATTGTTTTGTGAAGTGCAAACTCTACTTGTCTACATGGCCATGTCTGCCTAAAGAGCCAAATCTCGTGTGCTGCATTAGGTTAGCTTGAGTACATGAAAGGCCTCAATACATTCAGGCACAGACACAAGGACAAGCACAACTCTAGTACTCAACTATCATCTTGAACACCCTGCTACTCAACTTCAGACCCTCACAATACCCTTCTGAAAAGATACACGGTATACATGTCTGCTGTGGCTTGCTCGCTTCCTCGACCCGATTTCCATCTCCACTGCTGCAAGCCTATGGCCCACCCGCGCCGCTGCGCCGTCCTCCGATACCGGAATTCTCCAACTACTTAATACCAGCATTTTATGATTTGCTGTGATCTGCAGGTCTGGAAGCGTGCAGTCTCCTGACAATAGAGCGAGTGATAAGTGGTACGCGGCTTTTTTTACTTGTCATGGCTTGATACGATATCGGCCCGGATCACTCGGCTGGCGGACGGGTGGCCTTGCATTGGATTTGACGTCATAACCTTTTGCTCCACCACCATCGCATAGTGTTGATGCTAGACGGATACGGCAAAGAAAAGCTCCGATACATGTCATAGCTTTGATCTTTTGCTCTTTCAGCGTTGCTTTAATTCTCCGTCTGTGGGGAAACAGGTGGCTGTGATTTAAGCATCATGGCTTAAGCCAAGTTTTCGACCGTCTGAAAGCCAAGTTTTTGACACTCTCCTTCGAGCATGACGAACGTTGCTGCTGGGGCGCTGGCTAGAAAGGAGTGATTGTCACGGAGGAATGCTCGTAAATGGGTACCGTGTCTGATGATTTACATATGTGGATTGAACAGCTGGGGTTCAGACAGGGTAGATGCGTTGAACTGACGTAGTTGGAGGTCACAGTATGACGAAAGCCAGGACATCATGTGTAACTTGTTCTACTGTCACCGAGGAGTATACAAATGGAATGAAAAGTACGCCTCATCATCTCACTTTCAACACGCCATCGTCGATATCACGTCAAATTAACTAGACATTCAACCAACCACAACAAAGTCCAAATCTATCCGGCACTTTTAACTCGTGAGAACGCCCGCCAATTCACCAAGCCACGCACGCACAAACAAGAACGCTTACCATAATAGGTAGTGTCATACCTCATCACCCCATCACATTTACCTCGTGGACCCCCCATATCACCTCTCAATATGGACTCTTTTACCGGAAACGGCTCAAACCAAGCCACATCCAACAACAACAACAACCAGCAAAAAGAAGATTACCTCGACAAGGGCCTTGACGCTGTAGAGAAGAAGTACGGCGGTGCATCAACTGAAGACACACAAAGGTATCGGGGTGTGAATGAGAAGATTGTACGTTCCCATCCTTGCCCTAGTTCCATCCAGAACCAAGGGAACTAGTTACATGAAAGAAAAAAAGAAGAAGAACATCAGGCTAACACTTGACCAACAATAGACCGATGGTGCACGCAACATGTTTGAAAAGGCGACTGGCAAGGATGTCCCCGACAAGTTCTCCAACTGAGGAGGACACACCACCATCACCGACCACCGCATCAACGCCTAACAAGAACGGGTGCTGGAAGGATAGAATGCATAAGCTGGACGACAAGTGGTCCAAGGTCCGACCGTACGTTGAGAGGCTGAACGGAACAATTGTTCCGTTGCGCTCAGCAGAAGAGCAAGACCGAGAACAACAGCGAGCAATGGAGCGTCATGCTGCGACGCGTGTGGACCACCAGACACAAGGAAACCTAGATAATGATACCTGTATGAATGGAGAATGAATGACGATGAAAAATATCCCCAAATTTATTAACCTCGTTTAAAACCTTTTCATTCGCGTATCACGTTATTCTTTATCGTATGAAAAAAAAGTGAAGCAAAGGAAAGCGAAGAAAGAGAAGAAAAAAAAATCCACTAAAACCGGTTGGAGGAAGTTGTTTCTCACACCGCCTCCCTTCTTACCTGCATTCTTCTTTTCTCCATTCGCCAACACTACATGGACAAGAAAGAAAGAAAAAAGGACCGAAGACAAGAAACCTCCTCAACCACTTTCGCTTCTTCGCTTCATTTTTTCTCCCTCTCTCCCTCTCTTTACTCTTCTGTCTTGGGGGACTGTATGGACTAGGATAGTAAGCTTATATGTACGTAAACGTGCGTTTTTGTAAGCGAACTATATGCTCCGCGGCCCTATTTTTTTTCTTTTCGTCTCTTGCCTGATTTGCTTTGCTTTGCTTTGCTGCTGCGCGCGCTTAGAGACATGCAAGGCATGGGTATGTCAAGTACACATGCATGTACTTAGACCTTGTGTACATGCATGCACGATGCACATGCTAAACTGGTGCTTACAGGATGCATGGGGGGGCGGTGCAGGAAGTGCGCTAGGCTGGGAAAAGGATGATGGTGGGTTATTATCCACTAAGGGAAAGATGAGGAGAGAGAGAGAGCATGTGAAAAGGTGCTAGTCGAGTCGAAGGAGAAATTGAAGCAAGAACCTCTCTTTGTGTTTTTATGGGTAGGTAAGGGCAAGACAAAAGTGCACAGGCCAAGTGTTTGTCGCCGTAAACAAGACTGCGAGATATCGATATCCAACAACCGCCCCTTGAATAACTCCCCTTAGAAACATTTACAGCACAAACATGTGAAGCCTCCCAAACCCGGCCATCTCGCATGTGACCACCCCTCACTCCCCCCCAAAAAAACAACACGCGCTACCCGCCCCCCCCCCCCTTATGCCCTTGTTACCCTTTTTTAACCTTTTTACCCCGCTCCCCCACCACCATACACATCCACCACCCGTTCTTACGGTCGATCCTCTAGATCCTCTGATCTTCGCATCCCGCAAAAAAACGCCCCCAGTCCAGTTCGCCTCACAAAAAAACATCCGACTTACAGGCAACCAGACCCCCCGCCTTGATTAACTCCGGAAAGAAACCAAGACGCATCCCAGTCGCCAACAAACCCAAAACGACGGTATTTCGAAAGGGACAGGAAAAAAAAGATGTCTAGCAATCCCAACCAAGGCAACAGCGCCGCTGGAGGCAACGATTACCTTGACAAAGCCTTCAACACCGTCGCTAGTAAATTCGGGGGTGCACAGGGTAAGAAGATTGCAGCGAATAAAGGGTTGAGTGAGAAAATTGTACGTTTCCTCTCTACCTTTCTCCCTTTTTCCCTTCCCTCCCTTACCTCTCTCTCTCTCTCTCTCTCCACCTTTTCCTTCCCATCTTTACCCCTACATTCCCAAATCCACACACACACAATCTCGGCATCTGGAAAGTCGGAAGTGGATAGGGGAGAGTGGTAGAAGGCAGAGATGAGGGGGAGAGGAGGTAAACAGAAAAAAAATAAAATAAAAGCTGATAAAAACTTACCCCCCTTTTTTTTTATAGACCGATGGAATGCGCAAAGCCTATGAAAAAGCAACGGGGAAGAAGGTTGATCCCAAGATTTCGAATTGATCGCGCTAGGCCTTTAGAGAAGGCGGGGGGTGGATGAGGGAGGGGCGGAGGGAGAGAGAGAGAGAAGGGGGGGGGAGGGGAGGGGTTAATGCAAGGATGTGTGTTAAGAATGCTCCGTACTTTTAACACGTAGTTATACATATACCCACCACCACCACCACCACCACCAAGACTAGTTACTTACTTACTGCAGCTGCAGCCGCAAGCTCGTGTAATCCCTAAGAATTTTAATTTACTCGAAACTTTGAAAGTGCATAGGGGCCAAGTATACCGACATGAGACAACCAGATGGCATGATTTTAGAAACAAAACATCCACCCAATGCACCGTATTTTTTTTTCAAAAGACGTTACGAGATTAAAGCAGGACCCTGCATGATGACTCTCTTCATTTTTGCATACAGATGCACACGCACACACACACCTGAGATGTGTGCCAGTCATGCAAACTACTCGTACACGTTCTACCTTAACCTGCATACACACACACCCTCTCTTGAAGATGTGCAGTAATGCAAGCTACTACTACCACCTCATCCACCTTAACCAGCCAATTCAACCCTGCGCCTCAGCAAAGACCTCGCTTCCGTCTCACTCAGTAGCTCGAGGCCCAACTCATCTAGCACATCCCTAGCCGCCTGGTTATCCGCAAACAGCCGCTTTTCCACTTCCCACAGCCCCAGCAGCTCTTCAGCCCCAGCAGCAGCGCCAGTCTCATTTCCACCGCCCAATGACGTCGTGTCACCGGGGTGCTTTGCTTTTGGCGCAACATCCGACGGATCCTCATCACCGTCTTCTACAGCGCCCCAAGCCTCCGTGTCCCAATCTTCGTTATCCTCGCCACCGTCGTCATGCTTGGCCTCATCCTGGCCTGATGTACTAGATGGACCGCCTTTGACCGGTAAGCCAACAAGTTTCACACCCTCGAGACACTTTCTCAATCCCGTTTCTGCCACACCAGGGCCAACATGCTTGTCGACGACGCGGCACACAGCCAAGACATCAGCGTGTAACTGTGTGGCACCCTGGGTGGAGAAGCGGTACCGACTCAGTACGTTCTCCCAAAACACCGTCGAAATGGTAGTCAGCATGGCCCGGGTGATGCGGCGCAATGGCGCAGAGGCAAGGGCGCGTGAAAGGAACGCTAGTGTTGTGCGCAGATAAACAAGCAATGGATCCAGCTCTGCGGTCGGCGAGGGTTCAGCAGCGGAACTTGAAGCCGAGGGCCCGCCCAGCGTGGCCCACGGGTTGCTATCAGAAAAACAAATGTCAGTACACAGCTTTCGCATTAAACGGTGAAGTGATGTGGCGAGGAAACGTACATGTGCCGATATGCACGCAGCGCCTCGCGCACGTTGCTGTTCAGTGTGTCGATGATAATCTTCTCACTGCGGTCACGAAGGCGTGCGTACCACGATGCCGTTTCGTCAAACAGCGAACCTGCTTCCATGTCGTCGCTCTCAACTTTTTTTGACGTGCGTCCGGCCACATCTGCAACAGTCATGGTACCAATATTACTGGTCGGGCTACGAGCGCGATCTTGTAGCTCCTCCCAGATATCCAGGAAAAACTATGAGACTCAAAGTCAGCCGCAAGTCACATAGCACAGGGGTAATGCAGATATGAGCCTACCACATCGTCGCTCCAATCACGCATGGCCCGTTCGAGATAATCTGCACTGCCAAAGGTTTTGCAAAGGCGCTCCAGTCCTTCGACGCCAAGCAGCTTTTCCTGTTCCTCTTTGGTGATACCACCCATGGCACGACCCAGCGACGTAGTCATCGTCAGGTACGCTTCGAGATTGCTCTGCAGCCTCTCGTGCAACTTGTCAAAGATGGCAATCTGAATATCAATCAGGAAGGTAAGTTTCTGGCTAAACGAAGTTAGAGGCCTGTAGCGATCTGCAGAAATGTAAGGTTAGCGCCAGATTTGCAATATAGGGTAAGCGAGAAAAGTACCCGTTATGGTCTCGAGCAGGTCGTTTACGCGGATCGCTCCTTTTGTGGGCTTGGTGGCTTTGGGATCGACGCTCTCATAGTCAAGATCACCAAAGTCTGGAGCCTCGACAATGTTCTGATAGCGGGATAGGGCAACTGCTGCGTGTCAGTCATCCGTAACGAATTTCCACATTGGGCGCGGTAAAAAGCCTACAATCCTTTTCCACCTGCAGCCACAGTCCGAACCAATCACCCTGTACGAGGAATTCCCATGAAAGCCCCTTCCAGCCTTCAACGCCATGACCAGCATCGTAACCCCACGTGTCTCGGAGGTCCGTGTCAAAGTTCATCACCTCGTGTATCAGGTGGCTCAAGAGCTGTGGCTGGCCAGCAACCTTGGGCAGCAACGAGCCAATCTTGGTGCGCAGCATGGGTAGTAGGGCAGTTATGAAGGCCGACATGGCATCAATGTAGACGGGATTGAGCGCAAGATCGGTTCCGCGGAAGTGGCGTAGCAGAACAGGCTGGACATGGTCATTGACGAATCCGCTGTAGTCGTTCAGAAGCGTGGTGATGTGTGAAAGAAAATACTCGGGTCGATCAATGCGGTTCGTAGGCTTGTCGCCTTCAAAATGGTAGCGGAACCGCATCTCGAGCGGCTGCACCAGTACCTCCATGGGGAACAGCACTGGCGGCAGCTTGACCTTGTTTCCAGGACCATTGGCATAGCTCATGCCCTCGAGCTCGGGCAGTTGCAGGTCGAGAAGCTTGATAATAGCAGTCTCCCATTCTTCGCGCAGATTTGTGGGTATAGTTGCATTGGGCAAGGGCCAACGTATCTTCTTGAGCGTATATTCGAGCTGGGCAGAGAAGGCGTCGAGAATCTTGGTGCGCAGGGCATGGGTGATTTTACTGACGTAGTAGACCAGCTGGGGCGCGGCACCCTCTGCGTCTTCTTGCAGGTTGATGAGGCGCGTGTGAATGGCACGCAGCTGCTTGTACGGCGCGAGGGCGGCTTCGCTGGACGTCTGGAGTTTTGCCTGGGCTTGTTTACTGTAGCGGTACGTCAGCGGGCGGCGGCTCTGGGGTATGAGAGGTGGCAGCTGCTGGCGCTGGCGTACCTGA